ATATTACGTTTTGCCACTCATGAGTCCAATGCATATGGTTTTTAGCAAACTGTAATCTAGCAATTTTATGGTGTTTTTTTAACATTGGTTTTTGGTGTGGTTTCTTCCACTTTACGTTTGGTATTGTACGTAGAATATGTGCAACATGTTTATTGGTGACAGGCAATAATAATTTATCCTTTATTTGTGTTGCATTCAATTTATTTTTGGTTGCTTCCAAGCGAAGTCGATTAATTTGCCGATTTGTTAATACTTTGTTGCCGTTTGTTGCTTTTTTTACACCGTAATTGTCACCTTTTGCAATGTAGTTTCGTACAACATGGTCAGATCTTCTAATTTTTCTTGCTGTTTTTCGTATAGAAAGTGCTGGTTAGATTTCTGAGCCACGATATAAATTAATTTGTATTTTTTCAGCATCTGTCAAATACTTTCCTTTAGGCATTTTGTAAAATGCAATAAAAATGATACTGGCAGAGCAAAAGATCAAATTACACTAAAATTTATCAATTTATTTGTGTGAAAAGATTTAAAAATCAATATTTACCGTTATTAACCTGATTGCGTCTATAGATATATTCAAATTAAAAAATGTGCTTTTGTATATCAAACATACTCTCATGTTAATAAAGACACATAGAAAAATTTTTTTGTGGTTTTTATTAGCCCACAACACAACAATTATTTTAATAATAACTTGCATGCATATCTTTGTTCTATATAGCTCTCCTTTATCTTAAGACTACACTCTTCTTGATGTTATTTCTGATCATATTGACCAAGTCCTCCCTCTTTTTCCATCAGCCAATATTGTTGTTGTCGGTGACTTTAATGATTATCACACTGAATGGCTAGGCTCTAGTGTCAGTGACTCTGCAGGCATTAAAGCCCACAACTTTTGCCTTTCTCAATCCCTAACTCAAATAGTCAACTTTTAAACTCGATTTCCAGATAACCGGAATCATTTACCTTTTGTCTTCCTGTTGAAAAATGTGCTTCTTACATAACTTCTTGGATTCAGGCTGGCATGGAATCCTTTATTCCCTCTCTACTATTCCAGGTCAAGCCTCACTCTTCTCCATAGTTTTCCTCTCATTGTGCTGCTGCTTTCATCACAAAAGTTAGGCTCTCGTGACTTCTGGAGAATCTTTAATAGTATCAATAATAAGGGCAAGTCTGTAATTCCACCTCTTTTGTATGGTTCAGATTTTGTCACTTCACCTAAAGACAAAGCTGAATTGTTTGCTAAGAACTTTTCATCAATATCATCTCTTAATTCCACTAGTTGCGTTCTACCTGATATAGCCGTCAAAGAGGTTGATCCATTGCTCGACATTCGTATCACTCTAGCTTCTGTATCTGAAGTGATTTCCTGATTAGACTCTTCTACAGCTTGCAGCCCGGACAACATACATGTTATAGTCTTGCAGAAGTGTTCGCCAGAGCTGTCTATCCTTTTAAAACTATTCAACAAGTGCTTATCAGAGTCTTGTTTTCCAGCCTGCTAGAAAGCAGCATCTGTTATCCCTATTTTTAAAAATTCTGGAGAGCGATCTGATTCGTCTAACTACTGCCCCATTAGTCTTCTTTCTATCATAAACAAGGTTTTCGAATCTTTAATTAACAAACACTTAATCTCTTATCTTGAATCTAATAACTTACTTTCTGATCATCAATATGGATTTCGATCTTCTCGTTCTACAGCTGATTTGCTAACAGTAATCACCGATAGGTTTTATCGCGCATTAGATAAAGGTGGATAGGTTAAGGTCATCGCTCTTGACATTTCTAAAGCGTTTGATAAAGTTTGGCATGCTGGTTTTCTCCATAAGCTTACATCTTACGGTGTATCTGAAAACATCTTTAAGATTATTGAATCCTTCCTTTCTAATCGTAGAATAAAAGTTGTCCTTGAATGACAGCACTCTTCTTATTTTGTAACCTCAGGGGTTCCTCATCCTTGGCCCTATACTCTTTTTAATTTACATTAACAATCTTCCATATATTCTCACATCTAAGGTGGCATTGTTTGCTGATGATACTACCATTTAATCTTGTCACGATAAGAAGCCAACACCCTCTGATTGCTTGCAGGGGGTATTTGAGCTTAAAAAGGATCTCACTTCTGTTACAGCATAGAGTTCACAGTGGCTGGTGAACTTTAATTCAGATAAAACTCAATTTTTTTCAGCCAATCATTATCGCAATAATTTAGACCTTCCTATATTTATGAACGGTAATGTACTCGATAAGTCATCTACCCTTCATCGCTAGGATTAACTCTTACTTCTGATCTTTCTTGGAAACCTTATATCAAATCTGTTGCAAAATTAGCATCTGCTAAAGTTGCATTTCTTTATTGAGCTCAACACTTTCTTACTCTGGATTCTATTCTCTATCTTTATAAATCTCAAATCTGGCCTTGTATGGAATACTGTTACCATATCTGGGGCGGATCTTGGTGCAAAAACATATTGTAAACATAGTTAGACCAGCTCTTCAACCTTTGTCACATCGCCATAATGTTGCTTTTCTTTCGCTTTTTTACAAATACTATATTGGGCACTGCTCTAAAGAACTAGCGTCTCTTGTGCCATCTACTAAAATTCATTCTCGTGTTACTCATCATTCAATTAAGTCTCGTCCTTTCACTGTGACTGTTCCTAAGTGCTCTAAAAACTCTATAGAGACGTCAGATGTCGCTCCACTGTATTTTGTCTGTAGTTCTTCAGCAAGAGTGCTCAGTGAATGATATCAGAGCTTTATATGTTTGTTTGACAAGATAAAGTAAAAAATAACTACATGTTTACTACTAAAAGTTTCATGCGTTAGCAATCATCAGGTAAAAAATACATTATGTAATTTCATTAAAAAAAATTTTGTTCTAATTATACACCAAAAAAACGTGCAGAAATAATTACAAAGCCTTTTATTGCTCACAAGTGTGCTTCCTTCTTTTGGTTTTTCTAATGTTAGGCTTATGGTTGTCAAGCAAAAACTTGTTTTCGAGACGACACTTTGATATTATTTCAGATTTTTTGTTTAGCGATTTTTAGGTACCTTTGCATGAAATAATTAAAAGAAATAAAAACTAAATTAAACTTGAACCAGAGGAAAAAAGCACCTCCAAAGCAATCCAGCAGTTTAAAAATATACCAAAGAAAAATATATTGTGTTTTCCTCCAGTTTGAAATGTTGATTTTTACCCCACTCTTTCACTTAACATACTAACCAATGCAATATAGTTCAAACCACACCAACATCAGCAAAGAGAACATTAGAGTCATTATTCATTGCAGAAAGCCCTTGCTATTTGTTGACAATAAAGCGTGGAAAAGAAACTTAGGACACACCTGTTTTGATGTCAAAATGGGCTGTTTTGTGCGGAAGTTTGTAACCTAGTGGGCCTATATATGCTAAATTCGCTACCCACAATAATAAAGATGACATAGGATTATAGAATGATGACAGTCTGTTGGCAATCCGCAAAAAAACTCTCGCAAATTGATCATTTACAAAAAAATATTATTTAACTTTTTAAAACGATTGGTTTTACAATAGTAATACAAACAAACCTACCTGCAGTCAACTTTATAATTGTACTACTCAACCTAGAAAAAAATCTGTTCCAAGCTTATAAAAAAACCAAATGAAAAGCATCCACAAATTACATCCACATTGATTCCAACTACCCTTCTCAAATCCTTAAAGAAATCTTAACATGGATTAGCGACAAATTATCACAAAATTCTTCATGAATGAAAACACGTTTAACCCATCTATACCAGAATACAAAGAGAAACTAAGAAGAAACAGCTTCACTGATTTTTAAGATAAAACCCTAAAAAAGACAAACCCAAAAGATAAAGAAATGTAATATGATTCAACCCCCCCCCCTTCTCTCTCTAAAGGAAAAACCATTCCAACCAATATTGAACATATTTTTCTAAAACTATCCGACAAACATTTTCCAATATTCCATCCCCTAAATAAGTTATTCAATTAAAATATGATCAACGTGAGTTAAAGCTACACCAAAAATATTGACAAAATAATAAAAAAGCCACAACAAAAAAATTATATCTAAAAATTCAGATGAACACCCAACATGCAATTGCATAAACAAAGAAAACTGTAAAGTGAAAGGAAAATGTAGAATTTCAAATGCTATTTATAAATTTATAGTGTCACCTTCCCCCCCCTCCCCTCCAAACATTCCAGAAAAAGTATAAATTGGTTTATCAGAAGGCGAACAAAAGAAACAATAGGCTAACCGTAAACGCTCCTTCACAAATAAAAATTGAAAAATTCAACAACTCTTTCCAAAAACATATGGCAAATAAACTAACATAACCTGATCAATAATTAAAAACGTTTCCACTTACAATAACATCACAAAAAATGCTTACATTGCCTCCACGAAAAACTTTTAACAATTTCATACATAATTTCATTTCATAAGGTATTCCAGAATTGCTAAACAAAAAATCTGAAATAATATAAATATAACCTCACAAAAACAAGTTTTTGCTTAACAACCATAAATCCAAAGATTAGGAAAACCAAAGGATTGAAGCACTCTTGCAAATAATAAAATGCTTTGGAATTGTTTCTGCACATTTTTTTTTTGATTATAACTAGAACAAAATATTTTTTAACGAAATTACATAATGTATTTTTTACCTGATGATTGCTAACTTGTGAAACTTTTAGTAGTAAACATAATGTAGTATTTAGTATATTTTACATTAGTATATATAAAGTTTTATATTTTTACTATCAGTTGATTATTAATACCTTACTATGCTATACTTTATTATACTGCAATAAAAAGGGTCATTATTATAAAAAAATTAAGTTTTAACTTATTTTAATAACTTTAATAGATTTACTTTTAAATAACTGAAAGACCCTAGAATACAATTAAAATATTGATAATTGCAAAAAAATATGTATAAAACTGTTTGATATTTAAATTAACAATTTCAATGAAAAAAACTAACCAATGTCTGCTACAGTAAATCCGTTCTTTGCTATACAGACTAGTGACTCTGTGTTTTTCCTAAATAAAATTATGATTTAAAACAACTAAATGATAAATATATAAAATAAATAAATGACAAATAGCATTTATACAAGACTTTAAAAATCTTAAATAATTGATAATTTAGAACACAAAATTAACCATTCATGTGCAAATGAAATGTTTGTAACTAAAAAGGAATCATCAATTGTCTGTATAATGCATAAATATATATATATATATATATATATATATATATATATATATATATATATATATATATATATATATATATATATATATATATATACATATATACTACTGTGATCAAAAAGTAAGGTGAATTTTTTTATAAAATGAAAAATCTTTATTTATTCTTCCAAATCTGTATCGTCCCCCTCAAAATAATCCCCCCCCCGGCCCCAATGCACTTTTGCCAACGTTTTTTCCAGTCTTCGAAGCATGCCGAAAAGTCCTCGGTAGGGATAGCCTTCATTGCGCGTGTCGATTCACGTTGGATTTCTTCAATGGACTCAAAACGATTTCCCCGGAGTGGTCTCTTGAGCTTTGGGAACAGCCAGAAGTCACACGGTGCTAAGTCGGGCGAATACGGTGGTTGTGGAGCAACATGGGTAGAGTTTTTGGCAAAAAACTCACGAAGAACCAGTGCTGTGTGCGAAGGCGCATTATCGTGGTGCAAAATCCAAGAGTTATTGGCCCATAACTCCGGTCTCTTTTTGCGAATAGCTTCACGCAAACGTCGCATAACGCTTAAATAATATTCCTTGTTGACAGTTTGGCCAGTTGAAAGGAATTCGTAGTGCACGACACCACAATAATCAAAGAAAACAGTCAACATGACCTTGATTTTTGAGCGACTTTGACGTGGTTGCTTCGGTCTCGGCTCGCCTTTTTCACGGTATTCACTCGATTGGTCGGTTGTTTCAGGGTCGTATGCGTAGACCCAAGTCTCATCGCCAGTAATAATTTGTTTGTAGACGTCTTGATAGTCAGAAAGCATTGCTTCACACGCTTTAACGCGACACTCTTTTTCAAAGAAATTGAGAAATTTCGACACCAAACGTGATTTGAGTCTTCTGAGGCCCAAATGATCCTTCAAAATCGCTTGCACCAACCCAAATGATATTCCAACCATGTCAACAAGGTCTCGAATGGTTAACCGACAATTTGCAAGCACCAATTCTTTGATTTTGTTGATGTGGCGATCATCAATCGAAGTCGATGGTCATCCGGAGCGTTCCAAGTCATCAACACGTTCTCGGCCTTCTTTGAAGTCTTTGTACCACTTGTAAACAATTTTTTGAGACATAGTCTCTTCACCAAAGGCCTTTTGCAACATTCGATACGTTTCAGCAGCAGAAATATCATTCCGCAAACAAAATTTAATAGCACTTCTTTGCTCAACAAAATTAGACATCGTGAAAATCGCCAAATGCACTTTTGGTACTTCAGAAACAAGCGTAAACAAAAAAAAAAAAATTATGAGTTTGACATGTAATTTGGCGCAAATGTTAATGACATTCCTACCAACTTAAAAATAAAAAAGATTGGACGATTCGAATAAGGGGGGAAGTTTAAATTAAAAATTCACCTTTTTGATCACAGTAGTATATATATATATATATATATATATATATATATATATATATATATATATATATATATATATAAATATATATATATATATATATATACATTCCTCAGAATTAGGGTCGGAATTTGTCAATGCCGACCTAACTGCCAACCTGAAAGTGTTTGAGGTCGGCAAAAAATTGTCAAACTCGTTTCTATGTTTTATGGTCAGACCTTAGGTAGACAATGCCAACCCTAATTCCCACGGCTATATAAATAAATATATATATGTACATATATATATATATATATAATATATATATATATATATATATATGTATATATATATATATATATATATATATATATATATATATATGTACATATATATATATATATATATATATATATATATATATATATAATATATATATATATATATATATATATATATATATATATATATATATATACACACAATTAGGATTGTAATATATATATATATTAGGGTATCCCAAAAAACAATATTCTTGAAAATAATCTGTTCCCACCCTCTAAATGTGTTCTATCTAATACAAAAACATCTGGTTTAAAATTTTTTTGAATAAAAAATAATTTAAGGGTCTTGACCCCTGAATATTTAATGGGACCCTAATAGTTTCAAAAAAAAAGTTTTTCAAAAACATGTCAACCTGGCACTCAAATGAAGCAAAATTCTATAAAAATTTCAAAAATAATATTTACTTTGAAAAAATTTTAACTTATTAAAATTATCATAAAAAAATATAAAAAATGCTTTTTTTTCATATATATATATATATATATATATATATATATATATATATATATATATATATATATATATATATATATATATATACTTACTTACTTTTATAGTTTTTCTGTAACTAACTTTAATTGTATTTCGATTAAAAATTTTATGTAATTTATTAGCAGGCAGGCTGTTATTAATTGAAATCAAGATTTGTTTTAGAATTTGGGGTGGATGATTTGAGTTAACATTAATATACAATAATTCATTGTTTGAATTTTTGAAAGGCTTGATACAAAAGTCTTACTATAAAACATAAAAACAAGGTCGGCATTTTTTTGCCGATCTCAAACACTTTCAGAACATTAATATATATATATATATATATATATATATATATATATATATATATATATATATATATATATATATATATATATATATATATTACAATTCTAAATGTCTAAAAACTAAAAATAGTTTACTTTCTTACTTTTTACTACTTAAGAGAGTAAAATAAAAATGACCTTGGATTCATTACATCAGCTGCGAGTGTAGGATGAGTAAATTCTTCTTTAACATCCAAATACGGATACCCATTTAAACGTATATGTTCATCATAACTGACCAAAGTAAAGGATGCTTTTTTTATAATTTATAAACTAAAAAAATAACGATACAAAAAACAAATAAAAACAAATAAGAAAAGATACATTCCTTCTGTTCCTAATGCATCACCAACCCATTTGCTTACCATAATAGAAACCATAAGAGGAACAATGTAAGTTAAACCTCCAGTTAGTTCAAACATAATGACAACTAATGACACTAAAAAAATTTATTTAAACTATTTTTTTAAAACTTATTTGATACACAAGCCTAAAAGCCTAAAACATTGTCTTAATGAAGCTGCTGCATGGAAAAACAGAAACTTTGTATCTAATAAAGCAGAAACTCGCATTTATATATCTTGAATTTGTATTGTTATTTTTTACAATAATATATATAAAATTTATTACAGGGAATCTTTTACTGAAAAAATAGTGGGCTACCATTTTATACCTAACTTATTATACCTAACATTTGCTACCAACACAAAGTAATATTAAATTTTGCTACCAACACAAAGTAATATTAAATTTTGCTACCAACACAAAGTAATATTAAATTTTGCTACCAACACAATTAATATAAATTTTGGCAAAATCAAAAATGAAAAACTTTAAATATTTTTATACTCAATAATGAATGAAAAATCATTTTTGTAGTTTGCTGACAACTTAACTCACACAAAAGTGAGTTAAGAAGTTATGTTAGTGCATTTTTTTTTATGTAATAAATTGCCATTTATGACTAGATATTAAAAACTTATAAAAACTTTAACATTTTTTAAATTATTTTTTAAAACATATCCACTCTAATAGTGGATGCAAGCAACCACTATTAGAATTGGAAGTTACTGTAAGAGAAAAAATGAAGTTTTGGAAGCAAGATAATAATTAACATATAACTTAGGTTGCAAATTATAATAAGGAAAATAAGATAAAGGGGGCATTATGGAAAAGACCAGCATGCTAAACATTATCAAAGGCTTTAGAAATAACAAGAGCAATAGACCTAACCTCTCCACATCTATCTAATTCACAATAAAACTTATCAGTTATTATGGTTAACAAATCACCAGTAGAACAAGAAGATCTATATCCACATTTATAATCAGAAATAAAGTTATTAGATTCATGATAAGAGATGTGTTTGTTAATTAAAAATTTTTCTTAGGATATTAATAAGATTAATGGGATGGTAGTTAAACAAGTCAGATTGCTCTCCAGAATTTTGGAAAATAGGGATAACAGTTGCCGACTTCCAGCAGGCTAGAAAATAAGACTCTGATAAACACTTTTTAAATAATTTCGACTAGTGAAATCAAGAGATGATATTGATGAGAAGTTCTTAGCAAACAATTCAGCTTCGTCTTTAGGTGAGGTAACAAAATCTGAACCATGCAAGAGAGGAGGAATAACAGATTTGCCCATATAATAGACACTGTTAAAGATTCTCCAGAAGTCTCAGGAGCCTAATTTTTGATGTCTGTTTTTTAAAGAATTATTTTGTCTATTGGAAGTAATGGTTATAATAAGAAATTGCAGCAGCACAATGAAAGGAAAATCATGGAGAAGAGTGAGACTTGGCTTAGAATTGTGGAGAGTCTGAATCAAGGCTATCTTAATAACAGGCTTGCAATCGCGCAATTAAACGGAGAGACTGGAGGCTGATTTTTAGCAATTAATAATTTTCATTTCTTCAATGCACTATGCCTCGAAAGTGTTGTGTTACTTCATGCTTGTCTATGACAAAAATAATAAAAAATACGTATTTGTTTATCGTTTACCTAAAGACAAAGATGAACGTTTGTGTGGGATAACTGCAATTCCAAGAGATAATATCCCTGATTCAAAATATGCTGTGGTATGCTCTAAACATTGCCTGAAAACATTGATTTGATAATGATTAATGGTAAGAAACTAATGTACCTCCAACAATATTTCATAACGTTAACTTGAGTCAAATTCCAACAGCACCAGCAAAACAATGTAAAACAACTTAAACAAGTTTTTCAGTGAGAAATATTCAAGAGGATGAAATGAGCAGTTTTAATGATGCTGATAACTTAGAATTCAGTGACATTATGATAAAGGTTGAAACTGAACAACTACCCATTCTAAGTTATAAGTGAAATGATGACATTGTCTTACAATCAAATTTTATTAAAGGAACTGGAGTGCCACAGTAAGAAAAATTCAAATTTTCTAACCTTTTAACTTTTATAATAATATATTGGTTGCTATATGATAACATGTTTTAGTTTTTATGATAATATATTCTACTTTATTACATAAAAAACATTGCTTTTCATGTCATTAAGTAAAACCTTATAAAAAGATATATTTTGATATTTCATAAAAATATATATCAAAAGAATAATAATAGTAATAATACAATAATAGCAATCCTTGTCATTACAATATTATTGTTATTATGTTTTCATGAATTAAAGAGTTTTTATTTCATTCTTCTTTATGTTGTAACAATGTGACTAATTTTATATTCATAATACTCTTTTAGATTTCTTCTTCAATTTAAAAGTGATTCAACATATACAGCATTTCATATGGGTTCACAGTGTTTTCAACATTTTCACAGAACCGAACAAAAGTGATGGACAAATTTTTTATTTTATCTAAAGCAGTTCATTTTTTAAACAATATTGAAATGACTAAAAAAAAAGAAGTTTTGCAAGAAGAATTATTTGTGATGAGAAGTACCACTGTTGGAAAACCTTTGTACTCACCAGATATTATTGTTCGAGCCTTTGAGTATATGGCTGTATCTTGAGATTTATATAAGCATTTAAGAAATGACTTTCAGCTACCTAGTGTATGATCTTTAACAAAATTAACCTCAAGAACAAATAAACTTGATACTCTATCTTTAATTTCCAAAATATTTCACAGTTTAGAAGACAGACAGTGTTCATCCATTATCATGGTTAATGAAGTATATGTTAAAGCAACTGTCACATTTTATGGTGGAAAAGTCTATGGTCATGCTCAGAATCACCCAGAGAAGCTTGCCAGAACACTTCTTTCTGTAATGGTTAAATGCTAATTTTCAGGACCAACATTTATTGTTAGTATGGTACCAGTGTCTAATTTAGATTCCAATTTCCAATACAGTGTTGTTGCTAATGTAATCTATTGAACAATCCAGTGGAAAAGTTATTTCTGTAATTTGCGATAACAATCAAGTAAATAGACATTTTTTTCCTCTTTTTGATACCAATAAGCCTTGGAGAACTAAAACAAATATATTTTTGTTATATGATTATGTCCATTTATGGAAGAATATACGTAACAATCGGCTAACCGAAAAAACTTAAGAGATTAAAATTCGATTTGATGAAGGTGAGGAGTTAGTTGCTGATTTTTTTTTTTATTTTTTTATTTTACTTCACCTCCTCAAGGCCGAGAAGGCCACTACAGACGAGGAGGCTACTTATTTTGTAGCTATAACCCTCTCTCAACTCTATAACTCCGAAACACAAACCTTGACGAACAAGGCCGCTGCGCGGAGAAACGAGTTGAGCGCGGTACTACCAGGGACGTGGTGGGGATCGAACTCGGAACCACTCGTTTATGAAGCGAGCGCTCTACCACTACACCACTACCGCATTTAATTGATTGGAAAGATCTTGAGAAACTGAGATTGTTAGAATCAAACTCACTTATTACATCATCTTGTCTAAATGAGATTATCTCCAAAAAGAAAAAATCCTTATCTCCAAAGCCTGTAGAAAGACAAAATGTGAAACTAGTAGTGCGTGTTTTTTGTGAAGAAACCCTGGCAGCTTTAAAAACAAATCAGCAGCAAGTTAAAGGTACTGTTGCTTTTTTTCAAATTTTATTGATGCATGGAAAATTATAAATGTACAAAGAATATCTGACAATGTAAGGTTGCAACATCCTTTGCGAGCTGTCATTCAAAGTGCTATGGACAATCGGCTACAACATTTATCAAAAATAGCAGAAATGTGAAAAAATATTGGTACAAAAAAATGGTAAAAATAGAATAAAAACTTTAACTTTGACAATAGCAGATGCAATATCTCACACACTGAAAAAGAGAGTGAGATTTTTGACATACTGAATGATTTAGAAGAGTCTATGAAACAAGACAGCAAAATGGGGTGCATTTATATTTTTTTCTATCAACATTGGGCTATTAGCTCAAAAAACAATTAAAAGTTTTAGTATTTTTGGGTTAAGTTATTTTTTTTCAAAATTAAATAAAAACTTTTATTATTATACATATGATTTTTAGCAAATGCTTTTACAAAATTAAATTAAACAACGTTTCTCATAATTAATTTGTATTTATTACACAATTCAATATTATTAATAAACTTATATAAATAAATAAAATTTTAATTTCATTAAATGTTTGCTGTTAACATTTTATAAAAGGAAGTCTCATTGACAAATCACCATTCATTGTTCATAGAAATTAGCGCTCAACAGAATGACGTAAGTCAACATAAAAAAATGAGCTTTTTAATTGAAGTATAACTTTAACATAATACCTGAGTTGAAAAAACGCAAATAAAGATATGTGAATATAGATTATTTTGTTTTTAACAATAAGCGAACTTTTTTGTTTAATTAAACAAGAATCTAATCGCCCGCAATTTATAAATATTTCATTAATGAGCGTGTTTCACGTGATGGGAGCAATCGCTCTCGCCTCATGCCAAGGCCTGTATCCTACAAGGCAGAGGGAATGAAACAGATTGTACTGGGTTAAATGTTACAAGAAGCAAGATAACATGACCTAACAATAAATAAAATCAAAAAATAATTTGTTTTATACTCATTTATAATCTTTTGAAACCTTTTATCATTTTTATGTAATATATTCTTCAATAATAAAGAAAAGATAATTTTTGATGAAACTTAATGGATAACATAGTTTTAAAAAAAATGTAGCAAAATTCAAGATAAAAAAAGGTGTTTTTAATAGATGCAGAGTGACCAATATGTCATTCTTCGGAAGAAACTTGTACAAAATTAATTTTACTAAAATTAAAATAACAACAAACATTTTTTTAATGAAAATATTTTTAAAAATAAAGTTTTTTATTAATTTTTAAATTTAATATACAACTTTATTAGGCCAACTTAAAAGTTTTTGAAGCTAATAATTTTGTAAATTATTACCAGTCATACGAGTAACACCACCCAGTGTTGCTGCAGCACCAGTCATTGCATATAGACCTGGCACAATACAATGGTTCTTCATTTTAGAACAAACGCCAGACCAAAGAAAGAATGATGAATGTGAACTATAATGACATGATTGAATACATATTATTTCTACATATAAATTAGTAGAAAATCACTAAAAATTTTCATTTAATACTGTGTTTTATTAATAAAGACTCATCAGAAGAAAAAATATATATATATATATGTGTGTGTGTATGTATGTATGTATATATATATATATATATATATATATATATATATATATATATATATATATATATATATATATATATACACACACATATATACATTGAATTTCTAAAAAATACATTACATATATAACATACTCAACAAGCATATATATATATATATATATATATATATATATATATATATATATATATATATATATATATATATATATATATATATATATATATATATATATATATATATATATATATATATATATATATATATATATATATATAAATATATATATATATATATATATATATATATATATATATATATATATATATATATATATATATATATATATATATATATATATATATATATATATATATATATATATATATATATATATATATATATAATTAGGGGGGGTCCATAATCTTTTTTTAGATATAAGTCTTTTTTTAGATATTTTATAGTGTAACCAATTTTTCTTATTTAGTTTTTCATGCTGATTCTGAAAGCCATAATCATTTTTTTTCATTTTTATTATTTAGCCTTCTACTTCAATTTTAATAAGAGTGAATATATTGACAAAAAAAGGCATTGTTAAAAATCTTTTTCTGTTTAATTCATCAATAATATACCTTATCATTTATAAGTAACAAAAAAAAACTAAACATTATATATGAAAATAATTCATACAGTTTGTTATTTACTATTGAAAATGGAAAATAACTATAAAAGTCATCATATATATGCCCAGCAATCTCTATCACATATGTGATAGAGATTGCTGCACGAACTTTTCTTATAGAACATCTAGGTTATGAGCGTGTTCTTTGGTAGACATAAGATAGAGGTTTGTATTTTTGAATCAACAATCATGTATTTAAACAGAATAGACCTCCGTGACAATGACCTATATTGTATCCCTAAAATAAAGAACCTCATTTTTCGAACTTTTTTTCATTTTAGCATATCTTTATCTACTTCAATAATGTCTAGTTCACAGCTAAATGGGCTGCCTTATAACTTTAATCAAGCTAAAACAGAACTCATTGTGCACACCTGATGTAAAGTTTGCTACTCTTCCATTGCTATCTATTTGTTTTTGTAGCTGGTTTCAACTACATTCCATAGTTTTAACTTTTTGGACAAATAACTGGGCAATAATTCTCCAAAATATTTTTAAACTGCGCAAACCTTCATTTTTTATATGGTTTAAATAATTAAGTATACATCTACTGTTGAAATTAAATGGTTTTTTTCTAAAGCTTTCCAACTGCAACAACTTAATTAGAAAGTTAATTCTAATCATATTCCATAATCAACCAAACACATCATACTTTTCTCTTTTTTGAAGTCCTGAGGCTAACTTTTGCCAAAATACTCTAGCAAGAATGATACAATCATTCAACCTCTTTGAGGTTATTTATTAACTGCTTCTAGAATTTTTTTTAACTAGCTATTCACTACATTTTAGAGTAAAGCAGAAAATTTCATAATTTGATTACCCAGTTTGTTTTTTATAAAGCCTTTTAGGTTCCTTTAGCCTGTTTATCTTTAGAATTATTAAAACTTTAGAATTTAACTGAACTTCTACTGACTGGCACTTTAAAAGAAGATTTATTCTTGACTTTATTAAAGAAAAGTGAAAAAAAAAAAATGAAATCTTGAATAGCCTTCTTGATAGCTTGAATAACAATTAAAAATAAATAAAAAAAGGAAATTAAGATATTTTGAAGCAATCTGTCTTTTTGATTACTTAAAATGTTTTGTTTAGAAAGAGACTTCAGATAAAACTTTTTTTTTGAAGCAATCTGTCGTTCAACTGGATAAATTTGATTTTTAATCAACGATTAAAAATCAATTTATCCAATCAAAATTTGAATAGCATAAATTTGAAAGAAAAGTTGCGTAACTTTATACGCAAAGAAACTTTTGCAAAGACTTTTATTTTTTATATCTTTAAATTTTTTAAATAGAAGTAGAAGGTCAACCATAAAAAATTAGCAAAAACTGAATTGTTTTTTAAACTTTTCTCAAAAAATTAATTAAGAATAACTGGTTAAACAAGAAATATAGAATTTTGGACCCCCCTCCCCCTAATATAATATATATACATATACATATATATATACATGTATATGTATATATATATACATATATATATAAAAATGTATATATATGTGTGTGTATGTATATATATATATATATATATATATATATATATATAACAGTATATATATACATATATATATATATATATATATATATATATATATATATATATATATATATATATATATATATATATATATATATATATATATATATATATGTATATCAGGCTTGGTCGGGAAGCGGGAGCTCTCAAATAAAGACCATGAAAATTATATTTAGTTGCGAAAAACTGGCCAGGTTTTTTAGTCGTTTTGAGAACATTTAAGTTTATGTACAAAACAAAAAAATTTTGTTTAGCGGACATACATGAAAACATAAAAAACTTTAATGTTCTTCAAACATCTTGGTACAAAAGAGTTAAAAGAATAATCGCACTAAAAACCCGCCAAATTAACGAACCAACTAATTCTATTGGTTCAAAAAATACGCTGACTAAGCAAAATAAAGTTCTACAGTATTCTGTTGAAATGTTTTAGAAATTGTGTTATTTATGATTTGTTACGTTTTGAGATTTCTAGCATAAATTGTTTTACGAATATATATTGTTTGTTTACAAAAATAAATGTTTTATATATTAATTAAATTGTCAAAGTTTTAAAAGTTTATTATAAATCATAGATTTTATAAGTATTTTCTTATTTTTATTTAAAAAGTGTGTATTCTTTATGTAAATGTAATTTTTTGTATCTGTTTTTATTGTCATGTATTTTTTAAAGCAATATTTATGATTTAAACAAAGACTTACAAAAATAATTGCGTTTTTAATGAAGTTATAATCATTAAAGTTAATAAAACTAATTATGTAACAAACATAAGAAGTTTCTGGTTACTAAACACAAACAACGCATACAAAGCAACTAGCGGATAAACAAGCACCGCGCCTGAGGTCACGACAGAACACAAATATATATAGCAAATAACTAGATATAAAGAAAAGTTTCTAGATATTGGTTTACTAACTCTAATTATTTTCGCTTAAATTGCCATTCTTAAAACTCGTTTTACTTTTTTCTGCTTTAAATACTAATTAAAATTAAAAACCCACTCACTAAACATCATCAGCGATATTGTGAAGCAGTTTCGCTTCCTCGTCATTAAGTATTTTTAACCTTTTTAGTTGATTTCTATCTTGTTAATTTAATTTCTATAGTAATTCAATGGTTTAGTTATTTCATTTATTTATCTTACTAAGAAGAATTGCTTCAAATATGTTAAACTTTTTAAACTACGCGAAGCATAAAATAGGTATCAAAAAAATTAACTTTTTTTATTTATAAAATAATTTAGTTTAAATAAAACTAAAACTTGCAAACTTTGTTAAATAAAAAATATTTGTTTCCTTTTTAAACAATCGTAAGATGTTACTTTATATAAAAAACATCGCTAAATTTTATGAAAAAATTTATAAAAGAGCGATGTTTGGAAAATATTTGTTCTAATTGTAATTTATTTAGCTTTAAGTTTTTATGCGTTTAAAGATATTTTATTTGCCTAATTTTTTTTTTTTTTTTTGTAATTGTTTCTCATCGGTCCAATTAATCTTAGCGCTTTTTCTTTTGTTTTTTAAAAAGTTCTCAAACAACTAAAAAGTCTGGCCAGCTTTTCGCAACTAAATATTATTTACGCGGTCAGCAATCAAGAGCGATCGCTCCCGCTTCCCGACCAAGCCTGTATATGTATATGTATATGTATATGTATATATATATATATATATATATATATATATATATATATATATATATATATATATATATACACACATATATATATATACATTAAATTTCTAAAAAATACATTACATATATAACATACTCAACAAGCATTTCCATTCCAATCCCTAAAACACGACCTCCACATGCTCCTATAAAAAGACTTGGAACAAAAACACCTGTTGGAACCTATAAAAAAAAATGAATTTAAAAAAAAACAACCAGAAAAACGTTTTTACAACAATAAAAACTCAAAACAAATTTATTTAAATAAATATATATATATTCAAATAACATTCAAATAGCTTAAAAATCACAAAACTTTATTTTTCAAATAACATATTGTCTTTGAAGAGGTACCTAACAATGAAACTTAATAATTTATTGTTTTTTGTATATTTAAAATTATGATGTGTATTTAGAAAAGTATAAAATACTTTAAAACAAAGACCATAATTGGTCAACAATATATACATGTATATGTGTGAATATATTCCTGTATATATGTATATTGTTATTGTGCTAGAGTGCAGTATAAAAGTGATACAAATATAAACTGTGATTGCATCATTATCAGAAATTGTAGAATAGACAGTTATCAAAATAAAAACAATATGGTCAACTGTAGTTTTACTTACCTGGTCAAATGTAGTTTTACTGAACCTTGGAAATGTTTAGTTAAATAAAAATAACACAAATTAAATGTTGTTTTAAATTTGTTAAACTAGTTTAAAATTTAGAATTTTACCTTCATACCAAAAGTAAAAACAGTCAAAACTGATGTAAACACCATGGCAAGTAACAATTTCCAAATTGCTTCATGAACTCCTGGACCTAAGCTTCTGTGAGGATAGAACTCGCTGTTAATATGGTGTTGAGTTCCATTTGAAAAATAGATATAGTCACTAAATGAAAAAGATTTATTAAAATAAAAAACTCAGAAAGAATAAATTTTATTTAATAATAATAATGTTTATACCAGAGTGAAGAAGTGTCCTCTGGGCCACATTTTTGAAAAAGCCTGTATATAACACGACTAGCAGAGTCTCTAGTAAACTCATTTGGGTAGGAGATTAACACTGTTAATACTGTTGTGACTAAAACCTAAATAAAATTAAAAAAATAGTTCAAAATAACGATAACAACTTTCTCTACAACTATTATTATAATTTATTCATCATTTTAATAATCATTTATTATAATTAATGTTTTATTTATTTTTAATTACAAATTCATTCTAAAAATTAAAAAAAAAATTAAATTAAAAAGAATAAAAGAGAGTATACAGTTTAAAAATATTTTAATTCAGACTTTTTAAACAATTAAAAAAAAAATTTAAAAAAAAAACTGTCAAGAGAGGAGTTGATGCAAACCAAAGAGAACTGTGAACTAATCTCAAGTTAATTTATAGGAACCAAACAGATCATACTAGATATGATAGCTCTCTAGAGCAGCATCTAGAGAGAAAGAGAAAGAACGGATCCTCTAACTGTTTTTTCACTTTGAAAGATCACAAGGAAAACTTCGCTAACAATCCATCTGTGCGCCTTTTGAACCCTTCAAAAAATGAGGTAGCACGAATTTCTAAGGTAATTTTAACAAAAATTAATTGTGAACTTAAAAATAAACTTTTTTGAATCAATGGCAAAGTACACAAAATGTTTTAGACTGGTTTAAAAAAATCACCAATAAGCACTTATACAAATTCCTAGTTTTTGATATTAACGATTTTTACCCTTTCATAAAGGAAAGCACCCTCAACAATGCTATGAATTTTGCTGACCATCATATCGTTATCAAAAGCGAAGACAAAGCATTAATAAAGCATGCAAGAAAATCTCTTATCTTCAACAACGATGAAGCATGGATTAAAAAAAGAGGTGGGTTGTTCGATGTAACAATGGGGGCATTTGATGGTGCTGAAGTTTGCGAATTAATAGGTATTTTCATACTGTATCAAATTTCACAACATTATAATAAAGAAGATTTCAGCTTATATCGTGAGACGGTCTTGCTGTATTCAAGAACAAAAACGGTCAGCAAATGGAAAAAATCAAAAAGCATATAACACTCATTTTAAAAAAAAAACGATCTTCAAATCACCATTATATAATTTAAAAATTGTTAACTACCTCGATGTTACGTTAGATCTAAGTAACAATACTTTTCAACCATATTTTAAACCTGATAATCAAATAAGGTACATCCACTCTAATTCTAACCACCCTTCAAGCATAATAAAAGCAATCCCTCGCAATATCGAACAAAGATTGTCTTTTATGTCAATTAATGAAAATTTCTTCAAAAAGGCTATTCCACCGTATGAAGAGGCTTTAAAAAAATCGGGGTACAAATCGAACCTTACCTACCAACCACAAATAATCTCAAGTCAAAATCAACAAAAAAAGCAACGTAAACGTAATATTATTTGGTATAACCCTCCGTTCAGCTTAAACGTCAAAACAAAAATAGGAAACCGTTTTCTAGCCCTTATTGACTTACATTTTCCAGCCGGTCACAAGCTACATAAAAAATTCAACCGAAATTCTATTAAGATTAGCTACAGTTGCATGTCTAACCTAAAATCTATCATAAATTCGCATAATTTCAAAATTTTACACAACAAAAATCAATTAAAAACCAACCAATGCGTAGATAAAGCATTTTGCCCTTTGACCAATCAATGTTTATCTAACAATATTGTCTACCAAGCAACCATAAGTTCCAGTCATCATTTTGGCATTAGTAATACACTATTTAAACTAAGATACGCAAACCATCTCAAATCATTTGCATCAGTTAAATATAGAAATGACACAGAACTATCTAAGGAAATATGGAGTTTAAAAGACCAAAACATAAAGCCCATTATAGAATGGAAAATTGTCAAATGTTGTAAACCTTACAATCTAGCAACAAAAATATGCCACCTTTGTCTCTACGAAAAATATGTAATTTTATCGTATAATGGAAAAAACCTACTGAATAAAAAAAACGAAATCGTATGTCAGTGTCGACATTATTTGACACAGGGGACTAATAAACTATAACGGCTTTTTGTTTTTTGATTTGTTTTTTACGTAGATTTGTTTATAACGTCAGATGTCATTCAACAGCAATTTTTACGTTTTTGTAATGGTTTGTTTACGTTTTTTGTTTGTATTAACGGCTGATGATTGCCTTCGGGCATGAAACTTTAAGTCCCGCTAATCAGTTGTTTTTATTCATCTAAATATAATTATATATAGCTCTATTATTCAGTAATATTGAGCACTGTAACGCGTACAAGAGACTTCGTATTATTACATCAAAATACTTAACCTCGAATATATTCTATATATCGAAATCTATACAATTATATATATAGTAATCTATATTATATATATATATATATATATATATATATATATATATATATATATATATATATATATATATATATATATATATATTTATACATATATATATATACATATATATATATACATATATATATATGTATATATATGCATATGTATATATATATATATATATATATACATATATATATACATATATATATATATATATATATATATATATATATATATATATATATATATATATATATATATATATATATATATATATATATATATATATATATATATATATATATATATATATATATATATATATATATATATATATATATATGTATATATCTTATACTGCTGAGTTAGGTGAGCATGATGATGTCATACTCACCTAACATCAAATAGCCTGCTGCGGGGGGCTTCAGTACATACATCGACTGACAAATAGCCTGACTCGCAGTGGAGTGCTGCTACATCGACTGAGGGTTTGTATATATATGTATATATATATATATATATAAATATATATATATATATATATATATATATATATATATATATATATATATATATATATATATATATATATATGTACATATTTATATACATATATATATACATATACATATATATATGTATAAGTGTATATATATGTATATATATATATATATGTATATATATACTTATATATATATATATATATATATATATATACTTATATATATATATATATATATATATATATATATATATATATATATATATATATAAAACAAAAATAATTTTTTTAAATGATTAAAAATTATCTACAAAGCACCTCAAACACTGGATGATTTCCAAGCCGTGTTGTTTTCCTTAGTCTGCACCAAAATATATTACATTTATTGAAAATTGATCCAAACCAACCCTAAAAGTAACAAATATTTGAAAATAAATAGTCATTAAACAAATTGCAAAAGAAAAATGTTTTTACAAAAATAGAATCCACAACCTACTCCAAACACTCCTAAAAAGATAAATGGAACAAGCTCAAACGGTTGCCATGGATTATGGTAATTCACATAGAACATAACAAAGGTACCATTTCCATATGGATTCATATATCCAAATGTCAAAGCAGCAATCATTGCACAAAAAAATGTTCGCCATAATGTTTTTAAAGGAAAGTAGTAACTGACCTAAAATATTTAAATTTTAAAATAACAAAAAAAATCTAAATTCTAGTTATCTTGAGATCACATCAAAAAATGTTACGTGCAGATTTATTATCAATTGATTCTACAAATACTGTTTTATTTGCTTTATGATATTTTTACACTATTTTCTTGATATCACCTTATTTCTCATATTTTTTCTTTTATTTAACTAGACTTTTTATTATTACTTTTTATTAATTCTTTACCATCACTGAGTATGATAAGCATTTAGCTCCAAAAGCGGAGACTCTGTGCAAAAAAATAATGAAGTAGTGATGTAATGGTAGAGTTTTGAACCAGAAGTTCTAAGTTCGATCTATACCATTTCTGTGGTAGCACAGTGCTTAACTAGTTTTTCTGCACAGTGCACTCTTAGCAAAAATAGGAGATAAAATTAAAATCATCTGCCTACGTCCGTGAAAGAAAATCAATTTTGAAATTTTTCTTTATTACACATATATGTAAAATGACAGCATTTCTATTTTTTGCATTTTTACAGCATTCTTTAAACAAAAATACATACAATAAATAAAAAAACATTATTCTAAAGGGATAAAAAGGTACATTCTGTTCTCACATAAAGATTTCTACTGTAAGGTCAACATAATTTATTCATAAATCTCCAATTCTATTTATTTTGTGCTCAGTGTTTTCTTCAAAGATTCTTGCTGTTAAAATCAACAAGGCACATCACAAGCCTTTTTCCATATTCTGGATGACTGATTGGGCGTTTGTACCTTGCCCAATTTGTACTAAAGCAATGGTGCATTGTTTCTGTTGTTTGTTCGTTATAAATACCAAGTGGCATCTTTTTCCTCAGGATAAATTCCTTTATATGGAAAAACACAGCATGTGTTTTTGGTGTGGCAGTTCCAATTGGCAATGCAAGGAAAGAAGCTCAAAACTCATCAATTTTTTCTTCAAACTGACTGTGCAAATTGTTGCCAAAACAGGATGATACAACATTTGCAAATTTTCGAAAAGTTTCAATGATGGGAAAAACTTGAAAGACATTATCTTTTTCAGCCAATGTTTGCAAAAGATCCAAGTTCTTCAGCAACTTATTGCAGGAATTTCCTTCAAATTGTCCACCATGAAAGGGTTGATGTTGTATATGCAATGCTTGAAGCCATTCATCTGCCTTTGGCCATAAATCTTTCAGAATCTTAAAAAGATGATTGACCACTCTAAGAAGTAGATGCAACTCCATTGGAGGTATTAGATCAATTACCAATGCAGAATCTTCGACTGAAACAACAGGCTCATGAACCACGTTTCAGAATTTCTTTGCATTTTTGGTATTTGAACCTGCTGCAGAGAACGCATGGAATGACTGCTTCAGAGAGCCAAAAGTTCTTGGAGTACCACAATTCGCAAGATTAGAACTTTCCGCTGTGCACCATGTACATGGATGAGAGGATGAATGAGCCTGCAGAATGCACAGGATGTTAGCCAATTTCATGTCACAAGAGATAACAAAATTGACCTCGTGAATGTTGAGAAAGGAAAGAATGACTTTCACATTGTTGTAATTTTCTTGAACTCCTTCAGCCACAGCCACAAGAAGTTGTTTTTTCACTCCTGTATCCTTTGATGCTTGTGATGTAAGCAAGCGTTTGCTTGGAGGTAAAGCTTCACTTTGCATCTCTGGGTCCAATTCACAAACTCCGAGGCAGACTTTTAAGAATCCTCCACCGCCGTCGATCCCCAATTTAATGACATGGTTTAAAAAAATCTTCTGTGTCAAAAGTAAATCTTCAATAAGACTATTGAGACTCTTGCAATGTGCAAAAATGTAATTTGAAGTTGTTTTGTCAGCAATTGTAAATGCCGCTGTGGTCTGAGTAAAGCTCTCTTCAAGATTTTTCTCAAGGTTTTGAAATTCTTTTAAGCAATGATCTCCCACCCTTGGTTTGTGAAAGTCAAACTGTTCCATGTGGAGATGCATCCTTGCTTGTGATTGTTGAAGATGCAATCTGTTCCGCAACTTTACCATCATTGGCTGCCAGAGATCTTATATTCTCTCTAAACTGTGATACAGAGCATTGATGTGGTAATCCCCTACCAATTAGTGACAGACATTTTGAGCACTTTTTGTCAGAAATCTTTTCTTCTTTCGTGTCAGTGTCAAGAGGGTGCTTTTCAGTCAATTTCAACTGGCCAATGCGACAAATCAAGCATTCACAAGGATTTCCTCTTGTGAGTGGTTTGACAATGATAGTTTCAAAGTCAAAAAGAGCTGGTAATTCACCAGGATGTCCTTCATAACGTTTCCTCAGAGCAGTTCTACAAGTTTCACACAGCCCTTGCTGTACTCTTACATCTTCAAAATTGATTTGTTGTCTGTAGACTTGTTAAGTTTTTTCATGCAAAAACGTTGAGAGCTGTCTGTTTGCCTTTTTGAGACTCAGGAGGCAAACAACTTTCCTGTTTTCATCATGATTCCTAGCTGAATTGGGCATTTTTTCGTTTTTTTCTTAAGAGACTCAAAAATGCATTTGCAAAAATCTATATTTTACCTTTGTTAGAAGTTTTTTACATTTAATAAAAGCTGTAAAAATGCAAAAAATAGAAATGCTGTCATTTCACATAAATGTGTAATAAGATAAAGTTTCAAAATTGATTTTCTTTCACAGACGTAGGCAGATGATTTGAATGTTTACATTTTTGGAATCCCATGGTCATAAGCTTTCACAGGAATGTTGCGGTTTTCTCGGGTGCGGACGAGACAGTTATCGCCTATTTTTGCTAAGAGTGAGTGGCCTTGTACATCAAGGTTTATGTATAAGAGTTAAAGAATTGAGAGAGGATTGTAACCACAACTGAACTTAAAAGTAGCCTCCCCGACCGCAATGGCTCCTTCACCCTTGAGGAGGAATGACATTAAAAAAAAAAAATTGAAGCAAATCTGTAATAAGGATCAACATTTTATCTTTTTTCTTTAAATACTTGTACAAGTGCTTTTTTTTTTTTGATTTGTCATATGCAGATTAATGTTGCGCTCTTTTAAGGTACAAACTAAATTTCTATAACTCTTGCAGAGTATCACATATCAATCCTAGATCCATAAAAAAACTATGTAGATGTAATTTTCATTTTTAAATCAACTTAAGTGGACTTTTCATTTTTGTCTCTTGTCGGATCAACCATCGCTTCTACAAAATGATTCATAACTTTTCTATATTACAAATACTGAACAAAAACAAGATGACACTGGTTGCGTACTTTATCAATTATTTATTTAACTTAACCAATTTTAGCAGCTGAATATTTAGTAATTTATACAAAAAAACTTATACAAAAAGTTGAAAAACATTTCTAATGAAACATTGTTGACGTCTATATAGAAAAAATATATTGGTTCCACCTGGTTCAAGGTGTTGCACCATTCATCTTTATCAATTGTCATCTCTATTAATCAAATAAAGTATAGAGATTTTATCGATTCATGAAGCTAATATAAAACTCAAAAAGAAGTTAAAAATCTTTTCAAAACAATGCTTAATTTTGTACTTCAAAATTCGCTTTTTTACTATTTTATGGATAAAACATCTTTGATTGAGTATAAATGTCTCAGAATAACAAAATTTACAAAAGAACAATTTATTGAAGTAAGCAAATCACTTGATTCAATGAGAAATTCAATCCAGCGCACTAAAACCCAGGCTTTAGCAATATATTAATTCTGGCTCAAAACTGGGTTGCATCATTTGACAATATCAATGATTTTAAATTTAGATCCTGAAATTTGATATAAGTTGGTTACTTTAGTCAGAAAGTCACTTACTATTGATTTTGTTCCAAATAATCTAGGCATGAACCACATCCAAAGAAATTAATTATTAAAAAAGAATAGCTTTATTGCGAAAAAGATATTTCAAACAAACCATGATCAATTGATATTAATAGCAGATGAAATGTACTGCCGTTGTCAAAAGAGTAGCAATAATGTTTTTCATCGTAAAAAATAGGGTCAAAAAAAAAAACACTTAGTAAAACCATTTGTAATATGTTCTATTTTTCCAAAGTGGGCTGTAATGGGGACATGTGACAATGAGAATGAAGATGATGAAAAAAAAAAGTCTACAAAAAAAAAAAAAAAAAAGCAAAAGGTCACAAAATGAAGCTTGCTCGATTAAGTCAGAAATAGATAAAGTGCAAAACTCTGACAAGGAGAATAATTTTCCAAATGATTCCTTACATATACCGCTATCACCAAAGAAATTTAAAACTTTTCAATCATCTAACATTGACAAAAATCTAGAATGGTTCTTCTCAAAAGTGCCTAAATATGGACCTAAACATCTAAATAAAGTCTAATTCAACAGTTCTCTTTATAATACTTTACAATAGATTATTTTCGTTTATCTCTTTGGATATCAGTTTAACTTGCACCGAACTTGATGAACCTTTTGCCAAGTACTCCTTTAAAAAAATCTCTATATGATATAATTCAGTATAGATAAATGGGATGAAGCAAAAACTTATTAGGTAGTCAAAATCTGCAGGATTTTACCAACTATTTGTATGGATGGAAGCTTTCTAATAGATTGTTTTGGATCTGAATATGAGTTTTTCATAAAGTATTTAACAGATTTACAATCTTATGAAGCCGCGAATAAATGCAAAAAAATGTAAAACTACTAAGAAATGACTAATAAAGGACATTTTTTTCGAATGGGATATTAGCAGTGTCGTTCTAAACATGCAAAAGGAAAGACTGTGTTAAGATTGTGGCAGTATTATGACTATTAAAAATCTTTTTTTTTATGAAACCTCTCTCTCTCTCTCTGTATGTGTGTATATATATATATATATATATATATATATATATATATATATATATATATATATATCAGGCCTTGCGATAAAGCGTCGGGCGATGTGAATTTTACGTCGTCCAAGAGCGATTTTGCGTGTAGCTAGGGCTATTTGCGTCGAGCAAAAAATTTTTTGTTTGAGTATATTTAAAGATATTTTTGAGCGGAATTTTAATGTAGTAATTTACGATTATTTTAACATTTAATAAAGTATTTTAAAAACCGCACGCAGTTGAAATAAAAGTTTGAATTAAAAAAAATTAAATATGCTCTTTATTTACAAGTAGAAAAAATTCAGATTAAAAAACAAGTTTAAATATTTTAAGCTAACATTTTAATAAAATTATTCAGCAATAGCAAAGTTGTCGATAAAATTGAACAAAAATACTTTCTTTTTGTTTTAAATTTTAAACTTAAATAATTATTTTACGGGGGTTTGTTAGGTTTTAAAATTATTCCATAGATTTAAAAATATTTATTAACTGTTAGACGTATTTAAAGTATTTAAGAGTAATTTCGAGGAAACATTTTAAAAATTGGTGAGCGCAAATAAATAAATAAAAAAAGGATTAATATTAAAACGTATTCTACTTGATTCAATAAAAAAGTACTTTTATTAAAATTTTTGTAAAAAGTAACTCAAAAAAATTACTTAAATAATAACGACCGCTTTCGTGTTAAAAGTTAACGAAACTCAATGAAGCGTGCTTCAAGAACTGCTGCTGAAAAATAAAACGTCAATAGTTTTTCGAATAATTTTTAATAATATTTTTTAAGAATAATTTTTCGCTGAAATATTTTTTTTAAACCTATAAGATTTTTATTCTAACATTTTATTTTATTTTACTAGAAATAAAATTCCTTGTTAACATTAAAAATCTATTCAAAACGTTCGTTTAAGTTTTTTATTAATACGAGTGATTGTTCTTATCAACCGCTTTATGAAAATAAATATTATATAAAATCGCTTGTAAAAATATCAGTTTTTAATCGTACAATATTAAAATTTCCAGTTTATTACTCGCTGACTTTTTAAAAAGAAAAAATAATTATTTGAAAAACTTTAAATTACATATTTAAGAAAAAAAAAAATCAAATATTAGCAAATTTTATAATCTTTTTTAAATTTAAGTTAAAATGTTTTTTATTCGTTTAGTATAGACAAAACGTGACAAACGTCGAGAAAATAAACAAATGTTTTTACATTTTAAAAAACGAAACATTCCAAAACATTTTTAAATAATAACATAAACGATTTAAAGTAGTTTTGCAGTAATTAAGTAAATTGGTGAAGTTAATGTTGATAAATATGAAAAGTAAATAAAAAGAATTTAATGACGTCAAAAATCACGTCGTGCTTATGCGTCGCGCAGCTCTTATTCATCGCAAGGCCTGATATATATATATATATATATATATATATATATATATATATATATATATATATATATATATATATATATATATAAACAAAAAAAAAGGTGCCCAAACCACATACCAGCAAGTTTTCAGTGACAAGAGAAAAAAAATATTGCCAAATACTATATTGTTTTGCCAATATAATTTCTTTATTTAAACTGTGTATGTAAATAAATTTCCATGGTTTAATTTGACTAACATTGGCACCAAACAAAAATGTGTACCTATTATGAATTCACTAACAATAATACTAGGAGATCCATGCACAATACTACCAGGGACGTGGTGGTGATCAAACATAGAAATTCTTGCTTATGAAGCAAGCGCTCTACACAACTACCACATCATTAGTTATAATTAATTTGATAGTCATAACTACATTAGTTATGGATTTTAAAAAAACTGGAAAATCACAAAATCAACATAATAAGATCACCAGATCAACTTAATTTATTATTAATTTAATTCAAACATGAAAAAACAAATAAACTTAACTGTGATTGTGGCAGTATTATGACTATTAAAAATCACTTTTTTTGTAAAACCTCTCTCTCTGTGTATATATATATATATATATATATATATATATATATATATATATATATATATATATATATATATATATATATATATATATATATATATACAGAGTTAACTTTTACATAAAGTTATCTCTATAATATAAAAGCTAAGTTTCTTAAACCCTTCAAAATATAAAATTTGACAAAAACAAAGCTAGTTACAACTATCAGCAATTACAGTAATAAAAAAAAATATTGATTTTTTCATAGAAACAAGCTGAACTAAAAGTAAATCATGTTTTAGTTAGCAAGTGGAAAAAAAAATATGAGTAACAAGACTTGATTTTCTATATTTGTTATGCTTTTCGATGCTTTCTTTGTAATCTCATATATAAAAAAATATAATTTTAATTTTAATTTTTAAATATTATTTAAAAATTTTATTTTAAGTAAAATTTTTTGTCTTCTTCAGAAGTAAAATAAGAAAATAAAAAATTGTTTTCCTTGGAAAATAATATTTGTTGCAAGTTAACCTTAATAACGACTGAAAAAATAAAAGCAATCATGAATCTAGTTTATATGCAAAAGTTTTCAACAAACAACTCTAAGAATATATAAAGGTTTTATCAAAGAAGATTTAATGGTCTTATCAAAGAATATATAAAGGTTTTATCAAAAAGTATAGTTGTAGTAATAGCATTAAACAATTTCACATTTTCAACCTCGCCTATGACTCTGAACTGAAATGGAAACAATTTTAGAGATGCCTAACTAATAAATAATCAGTTAAAAGACGCTGCCAAATTTTTATTAAATAAGTCAAATGAAGTATAAAATAAAAAACCTCTTCTAAACTGAATAGAACTCCACCAACAGGTGCCCCAAATGCAACAGATACACCTGCAGCAGCTGCAGCAGACAAAACCTAATTTAGAAAAAAATCATGTTATTTAAAATATTTACAATATGAATAATAAACTTATGAAAATAGAAGCACTAAAAAGCAGCACACCTCTCTTCTTTTAGATTCATTACCGTAGAATTTGGGAAAAAATCTGGCGAGAACATTTCCGATACAAGCAGCTACATGTACCATAGGACCTTCTTTACCTAATTTTAAGCCAGAAGCTACTGATAGAATTAATGTAAAACTCTTAATAATTAATGTCCACCAACCAAGAAAACCTCTTATCACAAATCCACCTAATATAGTTTTTATCTAAAAAAACAAAAACAAAACAAAAATTTTGCTGCTTGTTATTATTCTATTTACAATTACTTTACTACTATCAAATAAACATAACATTATCAAATAAACATAACATTACTAAATAAACATAAGATTACCAAAATATATGTCACATTCAGGGCCTATTCTAGGAAAAAACTTTGGGCAACGGTACCCCCTTATTTTAGAGGACTTTAGCGGAAAATTTGCATTTTTTTTGCGAAAAAAACAATATTTGCCGTTAAAACATAAAAAAAAAAAACATTCAAAAAAAAAATTTCAGTTTTCATTGTTTTAATTTAAGATTTTTCATTATCAATATATAATTTTTTTTTTTTTTTGGTTTTTAATCAAAATATAATAAAGCCTCAAAAAAAGGTTTAAAAAATAGTTCAAACATGAACAGGTCATGTATATATGTATGTATGTATGTATGTATGTATGTATGTATGTATGTATGTATGTATGTATTAGGGTGGTCCATAAAACAACTTTTTTGAGAAAAACCTGCTGACACCCCCTAAATGTGTTTTATCTAATGCAAAAACACTAGGTTTAAAATTTTTTTGAACAAAAATTATTTTTAGGGGTAGCTCAAGGCCCTCAAAAATTTGACGGGTCCCTAATATTTTGAAAAAAAAACTTTTTCTAAAGTATGTCAACCTGGTACTCAAAAGAAGCGATATTGTATAAAAACTTCAAAAATAATAATCATTTTACATAAAAAACATGCCTAAAAAAAATTATTCTCAAAAAACCTGAAAATATTGACTTTTTTTATTTTCAGCTTAAAAACAATAGTTTTTATGCATTTATACCTAAAAAAATTATTTTTATAAAAAATTATTATCATTTTTAAATTTTTTATATAATTTTGCTTATTTTGAGTACCAGGTTGACATACTTTAGAAAAAGTTTTTTTTTCAAAATATTAGGGACCCGTCAAATTTTTGAGGGCCTTGAGCTACCCCTAAAAATAATTTTTGTTCAAAAAAATTTTAAACCTAGTGTTTTTGCATTAGATAAAACACATTTAGGGGGTGTCAGCAGGTTTTTCTCAAAAAAGTTGTTTTATGGACCACCCTAGTATGTATATATATATATATATATATATATATACATACATACATACATACATACATACATATAGGACCTAATTTCAAGGTTTACTACAAAACATTGAAACCAGATCAGCAATTTTTTGCCAACCTCAAATACTTTAAGGTCAGAAGTTAGTCCAGCATTACCATAATGCTGACCCTAATTCCGAGGGTTGATATCAATGAGGTTTAATAAATAGGAGATGCTGTAGTATATAATTAATATAAAACGAGGTGAAGCCAGTTTTAAAAGTCAGTCGCCATCTTGCTTAACCCAAAACATTGTCATGTTTTGCGCAAAACTTTATTTTTTTAGTAAAAAACTTTGCTGAAATCAAGTCAAAATATTGATATAAATGATGGAATAATTTGCCAGTTATTTTTAAGGTTGTAATCTACGACAAAGTATTGTTTGCTAACTGATTATTGGGTTCAGTTAATTCCAAATTATTGGAATACTGAAGTAGACATTCAGATAGTAAACATGCTTTTAGAATATGCCATATTTTACACAGTGTTAACATCTGATGGAATTAAAAAAAGTCTTTGTGAGTTTTTTATTAAATATAAACAAAATTAAATGTAATCAAAAATAAAAACAAATATATTAAATATAGATATTTATCTTTCAATCTCTTAATTGTTATGTATATATACATATAACTATATATATATAACTATATAACTATATATATATATATATATATATATATATATATATATATATATATATATATATATATATATATATATATATATATATATATATATATATATATATATATATATATATATATATATATATATATATATATATATATATATATATATATATATATATATATATATATTATATATATATATATATATATATATATATATATATATATATATATATATATATATATATATATATATATATATATATATATATATCAACCCTTGGAATTAGGGTCAGCAATGCCGACATCATTGCTGACCCTAATTAAATAAATTGCCGACATCATTCAGCAATGCCAACCTAACTGCCGACCTGAAAGTGTTTGAGGTCGGCAAAAAATTGCTGATCTTGTTTCTATGTTTTATGGTCAGACCTTTGTATCAAATAATTTTTGCCGACCTCAAAAAGATTGAGGTTGGCAATAATTTGACGACCTCATTTTTCCTAATTCCGAGGGTTGATATATATATATATATATATATATGTATATATATATATATATATATATATATATATATGTATATATATATATATATATATATATATATATATATATATATATATATATATATATATATATATACACACATATATGTATACACATATATGTACATATATATACACAAATATGTATATGTATAAATATGTATATTCATATGTATCCTTTATATACACACATGTGTGCATATATAAAGGGCTCAATTTAACGGCCGGACATGGGACATTGTCCGGGTAAAACCTTAGATTGTCTGATCAATTTACAAAGTAATCAGACATTTTGACCGATGGGAGTTAAATTCTACAAAATAAAGTTTGGACAGTAATGGCGTGCGATCAAACACTATTGCTGACCATGCAAATGATTTTTTTAGTTTACATTATGACCGCGTGAAAATTTAAATCTAACTAAAAAAACATACAATATTAAATTGAAACTATTTTATCAAAAAACAAAAATCTGCAATGAAATACTCATGTAAATATAGAGAAATATAAGGAAAGAAACTACAACTTAACTAGACTAACGTTAAATAAACTGTATAACATGACAAAGATTTCGATTGTATAACTTGGTTCCATTAAAACATAAAAATTATATTTTAATTTGATCGGACACTGTCCAATCCAAACAAGTTTGGATTGGACATTATGTCTGTGACTTTATCAAAAATTAAATTGAGCCCTGTATATATATGATAAATGATATATATGATATATATATATATATATATATATACATATATATATATATATATATATATATATATATATATATATATATATATATATATATATATATATATATATATATATATATATAGTCTTGCATGTCTCTTGCGTAGCATCAAAAAATATTTCCCATAAACTGTAGTTTTAAAGAGCGCGTTAATAAACCAGACCAGAAAAAGTTTTAAAAATTAAATTTTTTTTTTAATTGATAGACTGCCTGGCCAAACCAAACCCTCAGTCGATGTAGCAGCACTCTCTTGCGAGTCAGGCTATTTGTCAGTCATTGTAGCAGCACTCCCTTGCGAGTCAGGCTATTTGTCAGTCGATGTAGCAGCATTCCCTTGCGAGTCAGGCTATTTGTCAGTCGATGTAGCAGCACTCCGTTGCGAGTCAGGCTATTTGTCAGTCGATGTAGCAGCACTCCGTTGCGAGTCAGGCTATTTGTCAGTCGATGTAGCAGCACTCCGTTGCGAGTCAGGCTATAAGATAGTCGATGTAGCAACATTTACGCATGTTTAAAAAATGTTTTTTATTAAATCAATAACAAAAACACCACTAATTAAAAAAAACTTTCTAGTCGTTATAATTGCGGTTTTTTAAAAATTTTTTAAAAAACAATTAAATTTAATGTACTTCCGCATAAATTAATTGCTTTGACATTTCGATGACAATCAAAAACAGCTTAAGAGACGAGGTAATTAAAATTGTAGTCGTAAGAGACTTTTTTTACATTAAAATGCTCTTAAAGCGACACTATATGAGTATATATATATATATATATATATATATATATATATATATATATATATATATATATATACACACACACATATATGTATATATATATATATATATCATATATATATCATTTATCATTTATATATATACACATGTGTGTATATATATGCACACATATGAATATACATATATATATATATATACATATATATATATATATATACATATTTATATATATACATATTTGTCTATATATATATATATATATATATATATATATATATATATATATATATATATATATATATATATATATATATATATATATATATATATATATATATATATATATATATATATATATATATATATATATATATATATAGACAAATATGTATATATATATATAAATATGTATATATATATATATATATATATATATATATGTATATATATATATATATATATATGTATATATATATATATACACACATATATATATACACACACATATATGTGTATATATATTTATATAAATATATATACACACATATGTGTATATATATATATATATATATATATATATATATATATATATATATATATATATATATATATATAGACAAATATGTATATATATATATATATATATATATATATATATATATATATACACACACATATATACATATATATATATATATATATATATATATATATATATATATATATATATATATATACACATATATATGTATATATAAATATATATATATATATATATAAATATATACACACACATATATGTGTATATATATATATATATATATATATATATATATATATATATATATATATATATATATATATATATAGATATTTGTAATTAGTGTAAATAATTGTATTTTATATAAACTATTAACATGTTGCGTTAGAAATGTTGTGGGCGCGTCGTATATATTATATTGTACATAACATTTATACTGTTTATTATACTCTCGGGGGTGTTTGCAAATGTATATATATTGAGTAAAGATATTCAGAAAGACAGTAAGAAAAAACAAATATATTTTATTATTACAAGCTATTTCGGCAATGAGTATCATTATAAAGTTTGCGGACTTGGTATAACTTGGTATAACAATACGATAGTTCGGGTGATTTTTCCGAATGGATACAGAAATTGGAACTGGTAGCAAAACTTCAAAAAGTTGACGAGCTGCATGTGGTGCTCCCCTTATTTCTTTCTGGTGGGGCGTTTGCCGTTTATCAAGGCCTAAGTGATGAGATAAAAAAAGACTACAATGAAGTGAAAACTGCACTGACTACTGCCTTCTCTGCTTCTCCGCTAACAGCATACGAAGAGTTCGTAAATCGCCGTCTTAAAGAGAATGAGTTCGTTGACGTATATCTCGCAGAATCAACAAGACTGAGCAAGCTAATATCATCTCACGTAAGCGAAGAGTGGATAAGGTGCGCATTTATTCTTGGATTACCTGACGAAGCAAGAAAACAGCTGCAAACTGCATGCTCAATATCAACAATGTCGCTGTGCCAGATTGCTGAAAAATCCAGAAGTTTGGTAATTTTACGTCGCAAAGAATCGTGTTTTGTCAGTTGCGTGAATCCGGTTGTCATTAGTTCAAGACAGGTTCCTAAAGGACGCGGAATAAAGACCATAACGTGCTAATGTTGAGGTGAGGATGAACATATCAGTCAAAATTGCAGCAAAGAGATTGAGAAGAAGAGGTGCTTTGTGTGGGGAATGGACAATCACCTGGCCCAGTACTGCTATAAAAGGTGTACGACTCAAAAAACGTGGAAGGGAAGCCACCCGTTTTTGTGCGAGCGACTTCCCAAAAAAATTTTAAAACCGCTAACTCTCCTCGTATATGTCAATGGAAGAAAAATAAAAGCATTGTTAGATACTGTATGCTCCAAATCAATTTTATGTTGGGATATTGTGAACCCAAAAAATGTCAAACATGCAAGCAAAAAGGTTGTTATAATGAATGGAAAGTCAATTGAAGTACAATACCAGACTGTTTTTAATCTTTCTATAAATGATACCACCATCGAGTTGGAATGCCTGGTTGCCAACATTGTTCCCGAATATCAAATGCTACTTTGTATGGACGCAATACGACTGCTCGGAGGTGTCCAAGTTGGGAGAGACGGCGAAACCATTAACTTTAATGTGGAGCAACTAACTATCGGCGCTACTGCAGTGTCTCAAGGAAAAACGAATGAAGTATCCATGCCTACTCTTCAAAAGCTGATTGATAAAGACTTCGTAGCAGAATTCAAAAATGGCAGCTGGAGCGTGTCTTGGAAATGGCTAATGGAACCACCAACTTTAACAAACAAAATTCCACACTATCACATCTCTGAAGACGTTAAAAGTGAGTACGCAATAGAAATAAGTGAATGGATAGCACAGGGATGGCTGAAACCATTTGAAGGGAAATGTAATGGCATCATTCCGTTGATGGCAGTAATTCAACGATACAAATTAAAAGTACGACCGGTGATGGACTACCGGGAGCTGAATCAATTTGTATCCAGTCATACTGCAGATGATGATGTTTGCAGTACCAAACTTCGCAACTGGAGAAAGTTGGGAGAAAATCTTGAGATAATCGATTTAAAAAAAACATACCTGCAGATTCGTGTCGACGAAGCATTATGGAAATATCAAGTTGTGGAATATGAAGGGCAGCGATACTGTCTAACAAGATTGGATTTTGGTTAAAATGTGACAGCTGACTGGACATTTTGCAATAGCAAATTGGTTGCGCCCTTCGTGCAGCTTTCTAAAAAGGGTTTCGAGTAGTTTTGGATGAGACACTTTAATGAATGATCGTGTTGTCAAATTAGTAAGCAGTTTAAAAGAAAGACTTACAAAGGAAGATCCTGTTCATGGGTCATGGAACGTAAAAAAAACTTCTGAAGCAACAGTGTGGTGCGATGCAAGAAGTTTAACTGTTGGCATAGTTCTAGAATTGGCTGGGGAAATAGTAGAAGACTGCTCATGGCTGAGAAAAAAGGTGATGCGACTCACATTAATCTTGCAGAGTTAGAAGCTTTGATAAAAGGAATCAATCTAGCAACAAAATGGGGATTCGAATGTATTACCATAAAGTGTGACTCGGCTACTGTTGTTGGCTGGTTGTTGTTGTTGGCTGGTTGAAATCCTTAATCATCGGTGACAAACCCATTCAAGTATACGGTCTTGGAAAACCACTTGTCCGTCGCCGGTTGTCGTTAATTGAAGACCTTGTGAATGAGTGCGGTATACAATTAAAACTTTTCCTGGTTAAGTCAGCAGATAATAAAGCCGATGCTCTTACGAGGGTACCACAGAATTGGCTGCATTCAAACCAATCTGCAATGTCAGCAAATCTTGTACCGCCTGATGTAAAGTCGTTTCATAATCTTCATCACTTTGGAGTAAATTGAACCCTTTATTTGATGAAACAGACATATCCGAAGGAGAAAGTTTGTAGAAAAGACAGTTTGTAGGAAAGAATCAGTCGTAAAAAGTTGCAAAAGATGTTTATTGGTAGATCCTGCTCCAATCAGATGGGAAGAAGGAAATCTTGAAGTTGGAAAGAGCTGGTACCGTTTAGCTATTGACGTTACCCACTATAAATCAGAAATTTATTTGTTTATTATTGACTGTGGCAAAAGGAGCAAGTTTGCAATTTGGAGAAAGCTACAAAACGAGAAAGAAGCAACAGTGTGTTTCCATCTAGAAGAAATATTTCGAGAAAAAGGACCTCAGTGGCAACTTCTTCTTGACAACAGCAAGACCTTTCGCTCAAAACTCGTTGGTGAATTAAGCGCAGATTGGGGAGTGTCCATCCTGTTTCGTTGCGCTTACAGGCCATCTGGAAATGGAATTGTTGAACGTCACCATTGCACAATCAAGCGCATGGCAGCAAGAAGTGGTAAAGATCTGTTAAAAATGGTATATTGGTGTAACGTGGCTCCCAGAAAAAATGGCGAGAAAACATCGCTCTCCTACAAAGCTATATTTTCCTATGAGTGGAAACCACACACAGTTTTTGCCAAAACTAACGAGGAAGTTCTCCACAACTACACACAAGGACAAGAAGTATTTGCAAAACCACCTGATTCAAAATGTACTAGCGAATGGAATAGAGGAAGAGTCTCAGATAAAGGATGAGGAGTTTTGGCAGAAATCAATGGATTGCCGAGACACATGTCAGACGTCCGTCCAGCTCCCATTGTAGCTGACTTGTCTACAAGAGAACCGGAAGAACCCACCGCGAACAACCTGAATCTCAGAAGATCGACGCGTGTGCGGAAGTGTCCAAATAAGTATGCAGATTTTGTGATCTAGAGATCAAGGGGTGTTGTAATTAGTGTAAATAATTGTATTTTATATAAACTATTAACGTGTTATGTCAGAAGGAATGTTGTGGGCGCAAGATATTCAGAAAGACAGTAAGAAAAAACAAATATATTTTATTATTACATTTTTTATCATTTATATATATATATATATATATATTTATATATATATATATATATATATATATATATATATATATATATATATATATACATATATATATATATATATATATATATATATATATATATATATACATATATATATATATATATATATATATATATATATATATATATATATATATATATATATATATATATATATATATATATATATATATATATATATATATATATATATATATATATATATATATATATATATATGTATGTATGTATTATATTATATAAACTCTGACTTTGTATTTTAATGGTTTTTTATTCTTGAATTTTATTACATGAGGCTGATGATTGCCTATAGGCATAAAACATTTAGTGTTATAACAAGTTGCATTTTTTTGTTTATAAATAAAATACATATTTGTTTATAGTAAAATTAATACAAAAAAATAAATAAGTATATAAATATAATAAGGGGTTTATTTAATTCTATAAATAAACTAAAGCAAAAATACCTCAGCAATACCAGAACCACAAGAATAGGGGGCATAAAACCGAACAAGAGTTACTGAAATAGAAGCAAATGTAACAGCTACCATTACATAGCAAAATAAATTTAAGGTGTATAATCCAGAACTAGAAATATTCTTAACACCCAAAATATCTGACCAAAGCATCCACTTAGCACAATAATGTTGACCGTAACGAATTTCAGAATTCCAACAACACGCTTTTTTATTAAACCAAAATTCATGTTTACAAAATCCTTCTTTAAGATCAATCATCCAGTCAGTCCCAATGTCAATCATACCACCTACAAATCCAGTAGTTGCCCCTACTATAAAAGCAATAAGCCAACCAGAATATGCATCATGAAAACCCTAAATAAAAATAAGATACAAATAACAACTATTTATACTTGCGCAGATAAAACTCTTATCGCATTTTATCATAAATTCTTTAATTATTCTTAAAGCCTAATACTGATAATCATTAATAATGTATTGAATAAAATGCTTGGTATATACCCAAAAAATATAGTTATAAAATTATTGAAAAAAATTATTAATTTGACCTGCATGAATCTGAAAAGCAATTTTGATGAAAAAATAAGGAAAAAATATTATTAGCCTAGAGAATATTTAATAAAACTTACCTAACTTACCTCAAAATAATATTTATTTTTACTTACTTTTATTTTTTCTACAAAATTTCCATTATGCTTGAGCTTTTTTACTTGTCGAAGCCTAAGTCTATCTCTTACTCTATCTCTAGACCAATCTATTGTGTGAAAGTCATCATACTTTCCCAAGTCATCTGCCTCAGACTTGAATTTCCATAAATCAATATCTTTCTTCTCTAGACATACATTTTCATCGTCATTATCATTTGATGTTAACATAGGAATTTCTTCTGAGAAAGCATCCAACTGTTTTGCATTTCGAACCATGTTTTATATGAGCCAAAGCTTCAAAAATGGAAACATACAAACAGTTTTCTTTTTTAAAATTTCTTCATTTAAAGCATGTTTATTGAAATTTGAAAATGTTTAATAACCCAATCAACTGTTGTAAATACAATTCTATGAATTTTAAGATACTCACTGATTGTAATATTTAATATTTTAAAAACCAGCCAACAATATGTCGTTAAAACAAAGAGAAAAAACCATAATTGAACAAAAATTGTGCTGCTAACCAAAATTTAATTTTTACTATAAAGAAACTTTAAATGTATTTATAAAAAAAATAAATTATAACAAATCAATATTTATATAACATTGTATTTCAAAGAACATATTATAAAATATTAAAAAAAACAGGTTATCTCTGTAGAATAGATATACTACTAAATGGACTAAAATATTGATTGCCAACACAATGATTGCACCACACTATCAGTACTGTGCTCTTTTATTAAGAACAAATGGAGAGAATCTTCAAATACTTTAACTGCTGCAAAACAAATCAATAAAATTTATTCTTGAATGTAATTGATTTACACATAGAAATTGAACTGAATATCAATCATACAAATAATTAAAGTAAAAGTTCTTAAATTCATAACTTAATAATATATAAATATAAATATAAATATATATATATATATATATATATATATATATATATATATATATATATATATATATATATATATATATATATATATATAATATTACATTATTTTATATTGATAACAATCTGATTATTAAATAACAATAGGTATGTCATACTTCAAATTTTTCGGTTACCGTTTTTTCTTTGAACTTTGTGCGTGCGTTTTGTTTTGTTTTTTTGTTGCTGTTTTTTTTTTTTTTTTCGTTTTTTTTTTGTTTTTTTTTGTTTGTTTTTTAAAAGAGGGGGGGAGGGGTAGATATTGGTATATACTATATTTTCTTTAAATACGATGAGATTAATGAAAAATAATTTTATCTACAATAATTTAAAAGATCCGATCCTTCATTCGCTCCTCAAGTTTCTCGGATAGGTTAACTGAATTGTTGGTTAATTTTAATTATATGCAAGGGCGGACGCAGGGTTTTCTAATGTTTTTGATATGACACTTTCTGGCATTTCTGTGAAAACTCCAAACTTATGTATGTTGATGTTCATATCTAAAAATAAAATTTTGCAAATAGTTGCGGTGATTGGAGCTTAGGAACAAATATACCCCAAAGAGTTTACACCCCAATTTCAAATGTGAAGGTAATGGGTTTAAATAGCTAATATCTTATACTAAATTTAGATTTATTACCAAGTTTTAAATTTTGGCTAATAATCTTTTAATTTTCGTATAAATTTTCATTCTCTCAAAAATGAGGAGGTTGTAAATTTAACGTACTCAATTTTTTAACATTAAAAGATTTTTAGATGAAATTTAAAACCTTTCGATGAATTTAAATTTAAAATAAGATATAAATAATTTTCGCGTCACGGTAAGGAAGGAGAACTCAGTGCCGGATAAAGGAAGGGGGGCTAGAGGGCCCCGCAAATTTAGGGGCCCGAAAAATTTTTTTTTCTTAAGTTGTTTTTAGGCTCTAGCCCATAAAAAAGCCTCCAAAAACAAAAATAACCCCGGACCCCAAGAAGTCTTAATCCGTCCTGATTTAATTTTTTTTTTTTTTTGCTTTAGCAGTTTTTATTATAATTTAATTATTATTTTTAATTTGCTGTTTATATAAACTACAATTTCCTTTACAAAAAATAAAATCTAATTACAAATATATAAATAATAAACAGGCAGGGGGTCAAAGAAGATATAGACAATTAAATACTAACCTAATCTTTTCATAGATCCCTTACAGATCATGACAATAATAGTAAAAAAAAAGGTAAATAAATCAAATAAAAAATGTAACTAAAAAGTATTTAACTAATACACAATAAATTCACAAATAGTAAAAAAGAAGATATAATATTTAAAATAGTGAAAAAAGAAAATATATTGTCAATAAGAACAAATAGTTGCCAAATACAAATTGTCAGTAGAAAAGAAGTATATATATATATATATATATATATATATATATATATATATATATATATATATATATATATATATATATATATATATATTTAAAAATACAAGAGGTCAAAAAGAAGATATGTTATTTAAAAATACTAATAGGGGATTTCCAAAAAAAACACGCACGGAAACTTGTAGGGTAAACTGGGGTAAAGTGAACTGTTTTTGATATTTAAAGGAAATATTTTCAAAATAAAAGCCAAAACATTTTGCAGTTTTCAAAATTTATACCATTTAAAGTATTAGGTACAATATAAAACAAAATACTAAGATTAAAAGCTACTTTTACAATATTAAATATATATTCAAAAAAAACATGTCCACTAGTTCACTTTACCCCCACATTGGAGTAAAGTGAACTACTTCATCTTTAACTCTTTTGTGTTTGTTATTTCTAATAAACTAGTTTTTTTATTTTGTATTTTGCCTTGCTGCTTGATCTTTCTTTTAAAGCATTCGTTTTCTTCATCATTTAATCTTTTAAATGCATCTTCTGATGTAAGACACTCACCTCCATAGTGTCTTTTTATTTTTTTTGTAGGTCGTTTGTTGTATGAACGACCATCACCCTTTGTGGCCATTAACTGTTCTTTCACTATTTCTCTAATGATTTTATTTCCAGTAGAACAATCTACATTTGATATTGATAGTTGATTTATTTTTTCATTGTTTAAGTCTTTTCCTACTGATATTATAGTTTTTTGTGAATTGTATTTATTTGTTGATTCAATAGAAAAATTTTCACAAGTATCGTTCTGATCATTGACATTGGTGTCTAAAACGATGTTTTGAGGGACGTTATTATTATAGTTATTTGTTTTCTGAGAAAAAGGGTGTTCATAGATTTCAGAAGGATTTAACTTGTCAGATGCTATAGCAGATGGATCAAAGGGAAAAATTCCAGTTTTGGCAAAGGATTGTACTAAATGAGCTGGCTTAAAGGAGGTATCATAAAGTTTTTTTAATAAAGATGGAAAAACAGATTTCCCAACCACCTTCAGCCTTGACTCGGTATACCAATTGGCCAGAATTTCACGCCATACATGTTTAACTTGGCGAAAGACTCCTACATCAAGTGGCTGAAGCAAATGCGAACAGTGTGCTGGCAAACACAAAATAGTTATATGATTTTCAACTGCTTTTTTAACAGTTTCTAAAGAAATATGACTAATGTGACCATCAAAGATAAGCAAAACAGGCTTGGGTGTGTCTTTCAACCATAAAACAAGATGGTTAAAGTATTCAGTGAAAACTTCTGTTTCCATCCAACTGTTTTTTGTCACCCCATATAAGGAACCATTTGGTCCACCAGTCATCCACTCTTTATACAAATTCTTCCCAGCAAATAAAATAAATGGAGGAAAATTTCTTCCTGCAGCTGATATTGTTGCTAGTACAGTAAACTGTTCTTTTCCTGATCCAGGAGCAATAGATACAGGGTTTTTAATACCTCTTTTGCAAATAATTTTTTTATTTATTGGGTTAGTGCAAAACCCACTTTCATCGCAGTTTAGTATTTGGGCAGATCTATTCATAATGTCACATTTTTCCAATGTTGCTTTAAGTAATAAAAACCAAGCATCAATTACAGTTTTATTACAAGCTAAGGCTCTTGTTAATGTCAAAAGCTCTGGAGTTCTTATAGATATTTCTTTCTGCCAACGATTTAAAAAATTACAAAACCACTGATCACCAGCAACACCATTAACAAATTTTTTCTGAAATCCGTTTATTTCAATATACGTTTGAACAAGTTTCATAAATTGTTTTTTATCTAATCCAAATCCAAAATCAGAAAATGCAGATAAAAGTGAAACAAGATCTTTTTCAGCATCAGCAGATAATCGGTTTGGTCGCCCTTCACCAACTTTTGAGCATTTTATGCCTAGAAGATGTCTTGCAATTGTACTTCTTGGAACACCATATTCTTTTGATGCAGCATACGAAGTCATTTCTTTATTTTTAACTTTCGAAATGGCATTTTGCAACAAATTAGGTGCATATGTTTTTCTTCGAGATTCTTTTTTCTTAATGTAGTTTCTTGGCATTATTTCAATATATTATATTTCTGAAAATAATTTTAAGAATATTTAAAAAAAAAACAACTTATTTTAAGAGTAAACAATTTAGTTAAGTAATTACAATTTATATATTCAGTTCTACTAAAAATATTTGATGAAAAAACATAAGAAAAAGACTAGTTCACTTTACCCCCAATAGGCAGAAAAATAAGGGGTAAAGTGAACTAAATTGATTTACAAACTAAAAGCTTAGCTTTTTTATATTATGATAAAAACTACAATTTTTTTTTAACAGCATTATATTATCTTTAAAATGTATATAAATTATATAACTGATGTTCGCATTAATAACAACAAATCATGAATTTACTAAAACCCATAGCAAAGTTTGAGATCGTAATTTTAAAACTTCCGCCAAACTCGCTTTTTAAAATGGCTATTACATCAAAACAAAGGCTATATTTTATTAATTTTTTTATTTAAAAAATTTCAAAATGTTGTATTAAGCAAAAATAATGCTAAATTACTTAACAAAAAGTTTTTTAAACATGATAACTTTTTAGTTTAAAAAAATAGTTCACTTTACCCCTAGTTCACTTTACCCCAGTTTACCCTATATGCTTGTCTATTATTATCATAATAACAAAACTGGAAATTTACTCTCATTTAATTAATGCTTTTTAAAAAAATGCAAATTTTAGCTTTTTTATTTATTAACATTATGTATTTCACTATAAAGAAAAATTTACAAAATTGTTTATTATAAAATGTAAATTTATAGCTGGGGAAAAAAGAAGACAAATTTAGACTTATCGCCACGTCTTTTTTATATTTGTTTATTTATATGTATTTTTTGCATACATTTAATTGTGATGTAACGAAATAGCGTAGTTTAAAGATGTAACGTATTTTTTTTTTATATATTTATATTTTAAAGGGTTTTTTTATTATTATTATTAGTTACTAGATATATAAAGTTTGGTTCCTTGAAAAATAGTTTCAGCAGTATATTTTTTTTTAATAATATTTTAAATATAAGTTAAGATTTCCAGAAAGTTGAAAAATTGCACTATGTATCATGGAGTCTCAGCAATCATGCAGTTCATGTATCACGGAAGTTGCATACTTGTCGATCTCAGGTAGTTAATTTTATGAAAATAAAATTAACTACATGAGATCGACAAGTAAAAATATAAACAATTAT